AAGACTTATACTTTGCTATTTAATTGTTTTAAGACCATTTTCTAAAAGAGGCCCGGTGGACTAGAACCCATGAATGTAAAGCATTTTTGGGACTTTTTATGAGGGAAATGAGTAAAAGTTTTTCAATTTCGGAAATACCAACATATAAAGTATACAATAAAAAAATGTTTTAATTTTAATAACGTTTTTTTAATATATCTTTTAATAATTATTTTAATAGAAAAAAATTGCATATCTAACAAGAAAAGAAGCAAACTTCGGCAAGCCGAAGTTTATATACCCTTGCAGTTATTTCAAAACGACTACGATTCGGGCGGAGCCGAAGTTGAAATACCCTTGCAGAATATTCTGTAAATAATATTCTCCAAAATTATTCTTATTCATTCTTAACACTCATAAAAAATCCCAACTTCCTAACTTCAAAAACACCAAAGTTATGGCATTTCCAATCGTTCAGTTATATGGTAGCTATAGGATATAGTCGTCCGATCCTTATGAAATTTGGTAGGTCGGATTGATTGGCCAAAAATAAAACCCATAGAAAATCCCAAATCGACTAAAGCTATGTCCACTATGTGGACTGCCGTACATTGATATCAAAAATTTGTATTGGTAAATCGGCGCTCGTCACGACATTATTTTCTCGTTAGGGGTGTTTTTGCAGCGATTTGGTTTGTGTAATATCCTCCAAGTTAAAACTTTAAACTACTAGTTTAACATGTTGCTAGCACTGTCTGCCCAATTTCGTCGTTCTCATATATTTAACTAAATCGATATTTAAATTCTTACATTACGTTTTGTTGAAGGTTTAAAATTACTTAAATAGACAAGTTAAAAAACATACAAATTTTTAAATTTGAACAGTATTTATCAATCGACTTTCAATTTTGGTAATAGCTAAGTGGATTCTCGTTTTCATGCAATTCAGTGTACTGGCAAAATCCTTGCTAGAGATCACCAATATTGCTTTCGTGTAATTTCCATCCTGTTCATATTCCGTCTCTTCAGTTGTTTTGAAGTTCGCGCGCCTTTTTTGTCAGTTTTGCTGTGTCCGTCTCCTTCCCCCAAGCCGCCAATGCACAAATCCACCAAATCCACCAACCCCACCAACCAAGCCAGCAGAAAGCATTGCGCAAACCGCAATCGCTTTTTGTTGCTCGCCGAAGGCTTTTGTCAGTTTGTACGGATTTCACTTTTTAGTCATTTCTCTTTACTCTGCTAATTTTGCCTTGCAACTTTTTTCAGATATCCAACGAAACGAGCTGAGAGCGGAGCTTTTGATGATGCAATGACCTCGAACTTTGGCTCCTGTGCATCTGGCCGAGGATGCATATCCTTAAAAAATGTGAGCCGCTCCCGCTTTCAATGGTTTTAAAAGTCGATAGAATAAGTATAAAATAAGTTAGATGTAAGAGTTTGAATTCTAAAAATGATGGCGTGTGCTAAATGTTTCTGTGTTAAAACTGTAGAGATCAATTGTGTCGTTCTTTTAATTGATTACTTTTTAAAGAAAATTAAATTGTGATATCTCAAGAATTTACTTCTTGTTAAATCGTATGTTGTTGAAATCGCAATTTATAGATCTAGACTGCCCACAAGATTTTGTTACGGGTTAAACACAAAGTGGAATCAAATTAAGACCCATTCGTTCCATAACATATGTATATACATATGTATTTTATATATTTTAAATTAAACGAATAATTAATTTTGTCGTTAGTGAACATTAATGCTAATTTCTGGGAGTCCAATCGTGAAGGCATTGCTCAAGCTGTCGATTACAAACACGAGTTGGGAGAAATCGCATGCGATTTGGTGTCCTTATGAAGTAGAGCGAAAATCAATAAGACTTTGACTCTTCATGCCCACACCTTCCTTTACAAAAACTGCAGTAGTGCTCGTGTGAAATCTTTCTGTGTGCTCTTTCTGACCAACACAGTAGCAGGGCGAATACCTGGAGAGAGCTTTCCACCATTTGCTCTCCGCTGGCGGCTGCTCTCGAAATCTAAATTTCAAGTTCGTCTCCCGGGCAATACATCCTAGTGGGTCTACGTTTTCGTTAGCACCCCCCTGCATTTTGTGCATCCACTCAGTCGCAGGTCGAGGAAATGGCAGAACGCAAAAACGAAGCTACATATAAATATGTAAGGCTGCACAACAAAGGGACGTTACGTTCCCCAGCCCTAGTGCTGATTGAAAACGAAACCGGATTTCTTTTTGGTTGATTTTGGTCCACTCTTTCACATCGTTTTGTTTTTGTTGCCCTTTTTAGAAGTTCGAACTTAGAGTTGTCTCGTGCTGCGAGCTGCCTCACTGGTTTTTTTGCATTTGACTGAGTTTTCGGAATGCAGTTTGGTTTTATTTCGCTCTGCTCTGCAGTTCGGGCGCTTCTTGCTTTATGCGCCTGTTTATTTTTATTTTCGTTCTCGTACTTCTCAGCCTGATTCACAGTTTCCGCGCAATGTTTTGCATATTTGCGTAGTGGACAGGTTTTACTTTTATTTATTATTTGTGTTTTATTTTTTACTTTTCGCGAGTGGCAAAAGAGAACAACAAAATCTTTTGTTTTGGTTTTAAAACGGAACTGGTTTTCTGAGTCAGTTGGTTGCTTGGCCAAATAGAGGGGCGCGATGAAATCTCTACTCTTGGCTTGCAGGAAATCCACTTCAGAACTTTAGGCGCAATACATCAAATTTGAATTTAAATTCAGAAATCTAAATCAATAATTTTTCAAAAAACATTAATCAATAAATCTATTCAATTACATCTTACATTATACACCTAAGAGATCCGAGGAATACACTATTTTACAACTTTTTGTTGTAATCTAGACACGCAGAAACCCCAAAAAAATGTCGAAACATCGTTCATGAGATGTTCACAAAAAACATAGCTTTCGACAGTTTTTTGTATTATATAGTGGTGTATATATGAATATTAATATACATAATATGTGAATAATAGAAACTACATTTTCTTTTGCACATTGTTTTTAATAATGGGCCTCCCACAACATTGACAGCATCAGTTTCTAGTTGATTTAAAAAAAATTGAAAACGTCTTGAAGGCACCCTAGGCTAAGAAAGTTACATTTATATTTATTATATCGCAACAGGAAGGAAGTTTTGTGATGCCACAAAACTAAAATGAAGGTGGTGGTAAAATGCTCGGTCTGGATATATGTAAGAACACATGTAAGTTTCAGACCCAGATGTTGGGTGTCACAAAAATTGGGTCTACGAAAACACTTGACACGACTCGACGTTTTATGCTGTTTTAGCGCGTCAATAGCCACAAAATCTAAATTATGCGGATTTTTCTATTACTTTTCAATCTTTCCTATTAGAGCTCTATGATTTACTATGGAGAGGCAGAGATCAGACGATTATAGTTATGAACTTTGGGTGAACGTTTGTCATGCCCAAGCCAAAAGTTAAACAAATTTAACTTTGAAGAGTCTGTTTTTAGAGTGGAGTATTTCTTAGATCATAAATGAACAAAAATTCCAACAAAAATGCCAGAAAAATCGCCTTGCATCTATGAACTTTAAATTATCAAACATTTATCAGTAAATTTATAAAAAAATCAATTTCAATTGTATTGAATTTTAATTTACACCGGATGACTTGTCTTGCCAAGTTACTGGAGAACAAAGGCTCTTTTCCGCAAATAAGATTTTTAAATTTGATCTATTTCTCAACCAACCCAGCTGATTAACAATAAGACCATAATAGCACACTCATTTTTGATGAAGTTTCAAAATTTGAGTACTGGCCAAGTAATTGGCCGATTTGGTTCGCCAAACTTTTATCGGTCTTTCACAAAATAATCGTGTAGTTTCTCATGTCTAAGGCTTGCTGCTTGATAAAGTTTTTTGTGTTTAATTTTTTGTGTTTTGATTTTTTATTGTTTAATTATTTTAATATTATTGCATATATGTATATCGACACATCTTTAAAATTCATGATATTAATATAAATGACAACATGTTGTAGTGACAACTCGGTCTTACCCTCTTCTTTTAAACTTTTCTTAGGATAATTTTTTAAAAAAGGTCATCATTTTATTACTTTTAAAAAATAAAAAAAACGGTTTGAAAGTTTTTTTTTCAAGAAATCAGTCTTGTCGCAAATATAGCCGAATAATAAAATATTTAAAGAATTATAAAAAGTAAAAGCCGAAGAACCATTGCTTGTGATTTTTATACCCTTGCAGAGGGTACAGCCGGATGCTGATCAATAATATATATATCTAGAGGGTCGGAAATGTCTCCTTCACAGCGTTGCAAACTTATGACTGAAATTATAATACCCTCTGCAAGGGTATCACAAGGTCTGTGGAAAACCTGAAACGAATTGCAACTGAGTATCCTTCTTAAGTTCATGTTTTACATATTCGTTAGTTTCGTGTGCTCACTTGTTCTTCAGGGTGGATTAAGTGTCATTTAAAAAAAGACGTTTTTCATCACAAAATTAAAAATAGAATCACGAAAGTCATAACTCGCTAACGAGCCTTTTCTACGCAAACTTGTCTCTCAGTTTTAAAGCTATCTGCTTGAAACTTTCCTAAAAGTTGTCTTTCTATTGCAGGTAGTATATGAGTCGGAAAGAGCCGGATCGGCCGACTATATCCTATAGCTGCCATATAACTGAACGATTGGAAATCCCATAACTTTAATGTTTTTAAAGTTAGGAAGTTGGGATTTTTTATGAGTGTTGAGAATGCATCATATGAATAATTTTGGAGAATATATTTTACAGAATATTCTGCAAGGGTATATCAACTTCGGCTCCGCCCGAAGTCAGCTTTCCTTTCTTGTTACTTATCAAATTTTAATATAATAAAACAACCAAATCAAGCAAGTACCCCTACAAAGTTTCAGTACCAATTCTGTATCTACTTTATACGGTACGATTACTCAACAAAATAAAGTTATAAATATTAAGAAACCAAATTAGCTAAAATATTTGATCCCTAATGTAAGAGAAATACGCAATACATGGTTTTTGTACGATGGTTGGAAGAAAATGTGTATTCAGAAGTATAAGTTAGCAACATTCTCAAAGATTTTTAAAACGCGATTAGCTTATACGAACAAGGGCTCACTCTAACGACACCCAACACAGTCATGCTTCCCAATCAATGTATTTGTGGGCGGGGAGGACGAGGTGGTTTTGATAGTCTGGATTTCTGCCCCGACTGAACAAATCCTCCCTGGCCCTGCGGAACTCCACTTCCATCTGGCTCAGCCGCCGACCGATTCCGTCGCGCATCATTGCAAGCACCACCATGTCCCGCTCCACTCGCTCCTTGCTGATCAAGCTGCGGTTGAATTTGTCGCAGAAGTCCTCGAAGGAGTGGTCCAGGGTGAGCATCTTGCATTCGAGACCTCGGATGTTTCTTCGGAGGCTCTTGGCCCGACTTCTGATGTCTTGCAAAGGCTCGCTCATGCTGGCTGCTTGGACTACGGAGTGTATATCGGCTGCACACGCAGGCTCATTTTTTTCCGGCTCACGGACGCTCACATAGTACTTATGAATTTTCAGCAGGTTGGCCCGGAAATGAACCCAGTCCGCGCTATCCGAATCCCCGTCCATGCCAGAAGTGAACTGATTTATTTCGTTGGTGAGCTGGGTGATCTCATCGCTCCGATTGACCTCTTCACTTGGTGCTTCCCTTGCCTCTTTGCCAGCACTGTATGTAAATGTAGGCCTCTCTGACTCATCTTCAGTCCTAGCTTCATCCTCAAGCTGGGTTTCATGCTTATGGACAGGAGCGTCTTCCTCCTGCTCCATCATACCCCTCTGTCAGAGTCACACTGAAGTGTTATTCTAGTTCGCAAAAGTACCTACATGCATACCTTAATCAGGATTTCCTTAAAGCTTTTGGCCTTGGAGCTCAACTTGACCATGAACTCGTTTCGCATTTCCTTGACTATTTCCGCGATTCCCCCGCGGTCCGTCGACCTGGACAAAAGCCTTGAATAGTCCCCTGCCTCGTCCTCGTCGGAGGTCTGGTCCAGTGAGTCGTACTCGATTAAACCCTTCTGAGGGTTTGGACTTCTTATTACCGAACTCGCCAGGTGGCCGTACTAACCTCTACCAGCAGACCAAGGTGAATATCGTCCAAGCTGAGTTCGGGTGGAACATGCATCTCGTCGCCGGATGGTGTCACCGTCTCCTGGCTCCAACTCCGCTTCAGAGTGAGCAGGCTGTCCGACGATCTGACCTCGCCCCACGGTTCGGCCCCATCCAACTCCATAGAGGCATCGTCCGTGGGCAATTCACGCTCCAATTCCATTTCACCGAAAATTTACAAATTACCTACACTGTTGTAAGTAAAAACCAATCACTGTAAATTTGAACTAAACCCTTGCTGTGATTCCAGACTCGAAACCTAAAGCTCTGACAGTTGACACAGAGTCTCCTGCTCTTGGCCACCACACTCCACTGGAGGAAGGGGCTGTAGCCGTGGCTGAGATCTTGATAACCAGTCCGGGAGCACAGAAAGCGGAAATTAAGTTCGCGTTTCTGTAACGCATTAGCGCAACCAATAATTTGAGCCATCGTAAACACGTCGTAAATTTTGCACAGGCAAATTTAGGTCTTAATTTTCTTTAGAATACAAAAGACAGCCAACTCCAGCACCCAGTGCAACTGCAATACGTAATTACAGTCCATTAATTCCGCTGCGTTTGCCCGCTGCTGTTTCTTCTTCCTACTTGGCGTATGCACGATAAGTGCCACTTGCCGCCAATCTCTCTCCTCCGCCTGTTTTGGCTCGCTTTGATGAAAACGTTTCGCATTTCTCTTTGCCACTCTTATGTGGCATGCAACAGTCTTTGTTGAGGTGCAACCTATATACCAACTCTCCGCAAACGCATATCTGTTGCCTGAGCACATTTATTAAATATCACAATTCTTGCTTCTTAGCTTATTAAAAAGAAAAATTCAGTCACTATTAAGGAAGAATTTGGTTTTTTTTGAACTTAAGGTTAAGTGTCGGCTTAGATCTTAAATTCGATTTGAATTGTACTCTAATTGAGTTTATGTTCAGAAATGTATGAAATTTAGTCCTCGACTATGCGGAACACGTTAATCATCGACTATTTTCCACAAAAAAAATTGTGGTCAGAACATAGATGTAAAATTTGCCAAAACTACCAAAGATGAATAACTTTCTGAAGAATGTTCGATTTTGAAATATTAGTAGTTACTTAAAATACAATTGTTTCCCAATACGGACAGACAAAAAGACCAGGCTACGTCGATTTAGCTGTTGATCCTGTAGTGTCAATAATAAGTCAAGAAACAAGTTACACCACTTTAAAACGCCATGAAATAAAGAAATTTTCTGGCGAATTTGCTTTTGTTTTTAGAAAGTTATACACAGATGAAATTGAGCATATTATGTTAGTTCTAAATAGTCCTCGTAGTGACGAGTTGTTTAATCATAGTTTTTTTAATTTGAGTCAACGACATTTTCGACACCTAAAGTACGTATATTATGGATCAGCATCGCCAGGCGAGTCGATCTTGACATGTCCGTCCGTCTGTTCGTTTCCACGCAAACTAGCACCTCAATAAAACATTCCAACACCTTCTTTCTTTTACAGGTAGTATATTGCCAAAACGGGCCGGATCGACCTACTATATCATATAGCACTATAGGAACGATCGGAAAAATGGAAATAAAATATAACATCGTTGTTTCTTAACATATACGCATATACTCCAAAACATAGCAATTTTAAAAGATTTTAGAAATACGGTTTCTCTTCTATAAAAATAAGACGACTATATCAAATAGCTCTTATTGGAACGATCGAAATTTTCGAAATTTATTTATTGCTTTATTTATTGTTACGATTATGATTCGATAGTTTAGTTATATAGTAGTTTTAAATAACTTCCGAGTTAAAATTACAAATTACAAATGAATCCCCACATGGCAAAGATATAATAAACTTATTTCTTTTCTATGAATAGTATATTCGATATACTTTCCTCTACAAATTGTGATAAATACTTCAATAAAATTGAAAACAAATAATATTGTAAAGAAAAAAATGGGAAATAGTTTTAAAAAATTACTCTAAAAGCTAAATATAACATTTTTTACATTTAGTTAGACTTTGACAATTTATAAATGTGTTTCTATAAGTCGTATTTTATGATTCAAGCACTTGTTTTGTAGGTTGAATAATACTTAATTATCTCTAGTTCAAAAGATATGATTTTGGCTGTGTGTCGTTTTTTAATCAGGGGATCCCACTGCGCAGGATAACCGAACTTTTAACTCTGAGGTGAATTGTCGATTTATTTTGCAAAATTATATACATAGCGCTTTCTTATAAAATTAGGATAATGCTAGTAAAGTAAATATATTTTTAAATAAATAAATAAATAAATATAAAACGATAGCTGCCAATAAACAATCCAAACAATTTTCGCATAATCGACATAACTTCATTATTATTTAATACATTCGCATTAATTTGAGGTATACCGTGAATTTTTTTGCTTGGATTTTACATACAAATATAAGCCTTATTTCAAGTGAAGACATTTTTGTGTCACCCACGATAAAGTCGTTATAGTCATTATTGGTAATCATTTTTGTTATAGCTGTAAGACAATATAAGAGTCGGCTTGCCAAAATTAGCTTTCTTTCTTGTTTCTTATTTTCTACATTAAAATAATTATAATTATAAAGATAAATAATTAGCAATCAAGCGCCAGAGAACACAACAGTGTCCAATTAGTTTTAGCTGACAGCACTCCCGCATTCTGCGTGTCATCGTCTATCAATGGTTAAACAATCGGTTCAGTGCATTTGCAATGGATTCCCTTCCCAAAGACCATTTAGTTTTCAAAACCAGAAGCTGTCTTCGACTATCTCTCGGCCTGTCGAGAAAGGTCAGGGATGCAAAGTAGTCATCAGTGTGCCACTTCGCCTTTTGCAAAGATAAGTTCCCCGGACAAGAGTTCCCATTGTTCTCAAGAATTCGTCTTCTTTGCCGGCGTGTAGTAAGGCGCACATCTTGTGTAATTTACAATCTCAATTACATATGTACATACCTTACAGATCCCGACAAAATTCCATTTGTTGGTTTTTTGCTAATTTTATCTTCCTTTCTAACACTACCTTCTACCTGTTGTTCTTATTTTTTACAAATTGAACTTACCATTTCAATTGCTGGGTAAATATGTACCTAACCGTCGAAAGGACGGATTTTAAGCAAGTCTTATTTTATTTTATTTATCATCGCTCGTTTCGTTTCGTTCCGTTTTGGACCCCATTTGGTCAAACGAACTTGAAATAGGATATCGGCCGCAGCGACAACCTGTTGCCAGTTGCCGCAGAAACAACATGAGCCAAAACCTGATATTGTGGCGGGTTGTCGCCAAATGTGGGCGCACGTGGGCAACAGTGGTGTCATGAACTTGCCAATCCATTCCGGTGAAACCAACAAGGAGAAATTTTTTTGTGGAAAGTCAGAGGAAGACTTTTCTCAAACAGCTGAATCTGGCACCAAAGCTTAGGCTTTCATCGATATCGCCTTCTAATTATAACTAAATATCACTGGTTGAGAGAAAACATTTTCAGATGGACTTCTAATAATAAATCAAATGCATAATGTGTTGTTAATATTTCTCTGTGGGTGGCATCCATCAATTTCGAAAAATGAATCTCGATCCATTTAATAAATTATTAAAAATTTGCAGAGTTTTCTTAACTAAAAACTATATTTTTATGAGATCGATTTTTGTTCTATGATTCTTACCTACACAGATTTTACATATATTTGACGATCAAAAACATACTGTTTTACATAAAAATATAAATTTAGATGCAGGATATTGCCATCCGCTTATAAAAATAACTGAAAGAAGAAAGGAATTCGACTTTGACAAGCCAAAGCCGTAAAATATTATAATTGATTTGGCTTTGTGGGATTTTTAAAGCGAACTTTTTTTTAAAGCGAAATTAAATTTGTTCAATTGCTAAATAACGCATAAACAGTAAGTCATGTAATAGATTTTTTTTTATTGTAGGGAGACCAAAATGTGACAGCTTTTTATTTCTGAGAAAGATGACACATGTTTGTAATCTAAGGTAATTCCAGAAACATATTTGTTCTATGACAAAGCGAGTACAATTTTTACCTCAGGTCTCACATTATCACATTTTTTCTCAGCTGCCTATTGAAAATACCTAAATGTCATATTAATTGGCAGCAGAAGCTAAAAAACAACGGCAATCGACACCAAACAGATCCTCACGCCTTGAATAACCCGGCAGTGAAATGCGTTGACACCCGCAGGAAAGAAGGCAGGCCAGGCGCCCTGCATCCTGCTCTGCGACGTGGCTCACTTGAGCAAACACGCCGTCGGCGGAGGACACGTGGCCAACGCTCCATTGATCTCTTGGCAAGTGGCTAATTAGCACAGGCCCACTTCGGGTGGAACCCCCTAGCAAATACACACCAGTCGTTGGCGAATCAAACTGGTAACTGATTTGCATTGGATCACTTTGAGTCTAGAGCTTTTCGCGTGTCGAGCAACGCAGATAATAGGCCACATACATACAGCTGCAGTCAAAATAATAGAAATTAATCCGCTTTTTTCTGGGTCTGGTTACTTCATATTGACATATTTTAAAGATGTTTCCTAAAATAGGCCAAACCATAATAGATTTTATTATTATCTCAATGGTTTTATCTCTGCTGGCTACAACTTAAACCGTTAAAAATCAATACTTTTCTGATACGTCTGGTACTAAAAAATATTACTTTGCTTAATCAAGCGGTTACGCATTCACTTTTGGTTACGGGCTATGTTGTGCTTGGATTCGATTATATTCCGAATAACATAAGCAGCACAGTTTTAAGTTATTTCCAAAAAAGTTTTGTCTTCAGAAATCAATATAGCTGCAAAACTCTTTTTTTTAGGGATGTAATTTTATGTAACGTTAATGATGTCTATCTAAAAATTAGCAATCAATGATCGGTTGTATTATTTTGACCGCAACTGTATGTGGAAAATTGCTAAGGTAATTTAAAAATTATCGCATGTACCTCAAATTCCAAGCACTCGTTGCATGTGAGCTAATTGAAAAGCTGCGTGTTGCAAGCTTCTTTTCGATTCCCTATTGGTGATCGGGCTCGGTATCGGAAGTAATGACTGTGTTTTTCTGCACTGAAGTTTGTCAGATAGTCAAAACTGGAAGAATCGAGGCAAATTAAATATTTGGGGGAAAGGCCTAGAATGACAATGAATACCTTCTTTTTGGGCAACAAAGTATTCTCGGCTGATCAATGCAATGGTGAGGTCAAGATACTATTTAACTGAATACCTGAATACATGTCAGAAGCAAAATAAAATG